CACACACACACACACACACACACACACACACACACACACACACACACTGATTTAACACATTCATGTGAATATTTTGACAGTTGCATATACTGTACATGTATTTATTATAAAGCCGGCCGTAATATGTTATGTATATTTGATATATTTCATTCAAAGTGAAGGCAGGATTGTTCACTTTTTGAAGATAATGCAGATGAAGGAATTTTTTCTAATTTATATGTAATATTTTTTACCAAATTTTCTCAATGTAAAATGTCTATGACACTTCATTTCTGTTAAATTAAGCTACTTGACTGTTGTTGTTTTTGGTTTAGTTTTTTTCAGATGAATGAATAAGCCAAGTCCCCTCATCTGTTTCATAACCAATTATAACTCTTTTCACATCTTTTAGTCTGTCATTAAACAATCCATGGGGCAGAACGTTGAAAAGACTTGACAGGCTTACATGAGTCATTAGTTACAACCGTGTTTGTGAAGTCTGTTAATGCTTTGATATTATGTTTTGTCTTAACAGCATGACAGCCAGGTAAATAAAGACATCTTATAATCAGTATATTTTGATTCATATTGCCCTCTGCATGAGGCTAGCCAAGCTGATGACGTGTGTTTGTTTGTGTCTTGGCTGGCATCTGAGGGCTCCTGCTCCTCCACGCGGCAGCTGGAAATCACTTTCTCTGTCCTTTATTAATCTAAATTTGATGTTTGTCAGTTCAGAAACATTTACGCGGAATTTCTCACATTTATAACTCTGCCTTACTTGAGTCATTACCATAAATATATTCAAATATTATTTTATAATCAAAGTGTCTCTACACATTTTTTGTGGGACTGCAAGCAACTGAATTCACTGATTTGACAATTTATTTTCCCTTTCCTCTTGCATAATACTGCAACCTGGACAGTACCTTCCATTACATACACTTGAATTATGCTACTGAAAACTGATTAATATCATGCAATCTGCATTATTAATATGGACACACGGCATATTTAAACTTGACATCCAAGCATCGCTCTGCTTCTGGATACATGATGCAATAGCTTCCCTGCTGCAGTAATTGAGCTTTTTCATTATTACACTACTGAGAGACAGGAAATGCCATGGAGTTTGACATTTCTTTAGCTGTATGTACTTTTACTAAAACTATTCTAGGTCGGAGGTCACTTTGAAGCGGTATGCTGGCTGTCTACGGGAGATTGAAGTCTCGAGGACTCCCTATAGTCTCCTCAGCAGTTCAGATTACACTGGGGTCACTAAAGGATGTAATGTAGAGGTAAGATTCTCTACAGCTATGCGGTATATTTAAACTCTTACAACACTTAGATTCTATTGCAGAGGTAATAGAGGACTGTCTACTTGCATGTCACATATGTAGAAATATAGATCTGCAGTATAGTATTTGCAGAATCTGCTAAAACCTCTCTGTATAATCGTGTTTATTACGCACTGCTATTTAAGTGATTTATCATCATCACACACAGTTCACTCTGTTTCTTTTGTACGTAACTTTATTCAGGAAGTAGAAGTGTGTTTCAATGACATACAAGGCATTCACCATGATTTCTACACACTGGTGCCATTCATTCGCGAAAATGTGCCGCCATGTTCGCAGAGTGTATAAAGATTGTATGGAGGATTATAAAGGCCCAGGGTTGAGTATATGTATCGTGAAGGTCTTTCTGTACCTTATCCGTCTTTTGTCTTCCTTCACCACTCTGCTATGCTCCAAAGGTGTGTGTGCGTGTTTGTTTTCACTTTGAAACCACACTCAAAATAATGAGAAGTGACTGATGGTGCATCTGTGAAACGACATGAATCTAAAAGTTGTCTCTTGCACTCTTAGAGTTAAGCTTTGACTTTTTTTTCCACTACTTTTGCTTTTCAAATCCTTGTTTTACTTTTCCATCCGACTGTTATATAAATAATTTAGGACTAAACAATATGTCTATTAACTGATGTATGCTTAAATACTTCTCACAGAACCTGTATACAGTCAGTTTCTCTAAGCCGGGATACATGGAGCTGGCTGGTCTGTCGCTAGCGGTTGGCACAGAGATCAGCCTGTCATTCAGCACTCTGGCAGACACCGGGACCATAATGCTGGCAGTAGGCGGAGCTTCACCAATCGGCCAGCAGGTTCGGTTTCATATAGTTTCTTCATTGAAGTTGTGACTCACTTTCTTAACTTTGTGATGTATTTTACAGCTTCGTAATTTCTACATCATTTTAGGAAGAATCATGTAAAAACAATTGTGATTTGATACAAATTAAAGAGGAATAGGAAATTGCTTGAATGATCAATTTAAAACCAAAATAATAAACCAAACCAGATACAAAACCAAATACATTTGTTATTAATTTATTACTGAATAATCTATCATATCTTTATGTTGTATGGTTGGATGTAAAGACATTATTTTCGTCTCTGGGTCTGGGTACAGTAGATTATTGAAACAGATTATTTGGAAGTTAACACTTTCTCTATTTTCCATGTATTGTATAATAATATTATATATATATCAATTATTAATAACAGTTAGATATGAATCCCTTTGTTGTAAAATATAAGAAAACTTAGGGACCTGTAAAACCACAAAGCATTAATCCATCTATTCTCCCATTTTTTGAAAATCTTTCCACCACAGGCCCGAAAAAATAACCTCCTTAACTCCAAGAGGAGACGCAGACAGTCGGGAGAGGTGGGTTCAACACATGGCCACACTCATACTCACCCAAATGCTGTACCCCTTTACCGAATGATGTTTTCATAAGTGCATATTAATGAGATTTGCATTTTTTGGCAACTGGGCTAATTGGATTCTCTTTTATCAAAATACACACACACACACACACACATGTCCATTGACAGATACTGATAGTAGCTGTCCTAGCTTTTAGCCGACCATGCAAGCACACACACACACACACACACACTCATACGTGCACACAAGCATTCTTTC